AGAGTGTGCGTGGCAAATGAATCCCGAACCTGAACCGAACGATCGTGACCCTTGGAATAACCAATAATTCCTTGCGTTCTCCCGGTAATCGAGACCGTCACGACTCGAGTGACCCTAGGTCGATACGCGTAACCCCTAAATAGCCACCCGTCAGTGAGAGGCTCTAAAATTCTGTATTGAGCAATTTTAATCGCCAAATTCGACCCGAACTTCGATGTTGAAATTCTATGGGTGTTTGTGACTATTTTGTGAGGTTGACGTCATTTTTGAGTGGCCACACACATTTGGGGTAAGTATGGTCGAAAAATGGAATTTCGACCCGGGACCGAAAAATTACCGTTTTGCCCCTGGACCCTGTACTGGGTATTCCGAATTTTGGATAATTTTGGGCAATAATTGAGGATTAAAATAAGTGAATAAGGAATTGGAATTATTGAATTACCTATTTGCCCCTCAATTATTGGATTGGGCTAATTATGTACCGTTAGATCAAGGGCAAAATGGTTCGAGGGCTAGGATCGCGACACGTGGCACACCTTTTTGACCCATAAGACCCCTTTGACCACTCTCTCTCCTCCCATTTTCCTCCCCCATCAGCCGTGCACTCCCCCTCCCACGCCACTTCTCCTTCTTTTTCCTTTCCTTCTTCTCCTTCATTTTCTTCTTTGTTTGGCCGTGAGAGGCCCTCGCCGGAGGAGCTCCGCCGCGCCACCGTGCCGTCGCCGCCGCACCACCTTGCCACCACCAGCAGTCTCATCTCTCTTTTTTCCTTTTCCTTAGCCGTGTGAGCAGCCCCCACCGTGGATCGCCGTCTGCAAGCCGTCGCCGTTTGTGCCGCCGTGGAGGCCGTCCGTCGCTGCCGCTTGCGCCGCCATGGAATCGGCTCAGCCCACCCATTTTCCCCACTTATTCAGCCTTGTAAGGAGCTTAGGAATCCAAGTGAGTGGAAACCCTAACCCTTAATTAGGCTTGTGTGCACTTTGGACAAGTTTAGGGGTTAATTAGTGTGGGATGATTTGGGGCTGAAGTTGTGGTGACTTTAATGGCCTAAGGTGATGATTTAGGGATGGTTTAAAGGCTGTGGATAATTGGATTAGTGGTTTGTTGAGCTTGGTTTGCTTGGTGATGCATATTTGTTGATTTCTGGTACGGTTACTGTTGCATTGCCGGATTTTGTTATTTTTGGTGTGACCTGTGTGGGTAGAATTTGAAGAAGTGTTGTTCGTGAAAGTTGTTTCCAACCTCTTTAAGTATAACATATTTTAATTTGGGAATTTTTGGAAATCATTTGATGCCATTCGGAAGTCCATCTTTGGACCGAAATAAAACTGCCCGATTTACTGTTCACCCGACCTTTGGGTCTGTTCGAATTTTTATAAATTTTTCCAGGCCTATTTTCAAAATACTTCCTTCACAAAAATTGTTGGAGACATTTGTGGGTATAACATATAAAAATTTTAAGGTTTTCCAAAATGATTTGGGTACCGAATGAGTTGTATTTTGATGGCCTGAGGGGCTGTCCGAGCGAACCGAATTTCGTCTGACTTTGAGTGTCAAAATGAGGTATTTACGGTTAGAACTGGGTTTCTAGTTCTCATGGAAAATGTTCATCAAGATGTTTTGTACAACATATCCAAATTTCAGAATTTTTGGAATTGATTTACTATCTATTTCAAATGGATTTCGGCCACTGTGTAACTGCCCAGTTTGGACTCGATTTTGTTCACTCTCGGTTTTTATCTCTCTCGGACTGATTGGTGGCTGTCCACATTGAGGCGTGACCGGATTTAAAATCGACAATGTGAGTATAACCTTCTAAATCCGGTTTAGGACAGTGTACATTTTTAGACGGACCCGGTTTAGTTTATTAGTGATACGATTTGAGGAGAATTGATATTCATAGTTCGAGGCTGAGGTGAGATCGCGATTAATTTGATGGATTATTGTGGCGATCTAGTGGCGAATTGGATGTCGATAATAGGGTGAATAGTGGCCGTCCCCAATAATGGATATTTGGATTGGTGTCATTAAACTGGAGATTTATTGGCTGAATTGCCGAGTATGCCCGGGTTGACTGGCTTATTGATTATCGTGCTCAATTGTTTAATGCCATGCCGCCTGATTGCGTGTTCGAGCAATGCGATGTGTGATTGGCCAATCATTGATGTGAATGTTATTGCCCAAGTGCGCGAATTATGTTTTGGGCCACATGGTACTAGTTAGCCAAGTGCGCGAATTATGTGTTGAAATTGAATGCTCATGTTGCATTGTACGACATTGCATGGCCATGTATTATGTATGCCGAGAATGGGGCATGAGATGAGATTGTGTGAGAATGCGTGCCTGACATGAGCATGTGATCACCTAATTGCCCGATGCATTTTACGCTGGGTTCAGATAAAAATTGGCAGTGTGTCGTGTGATCACTTAAGGCCTTCGGGTCGTGCTGTCCTCATGCACTTTGAAACAGGACGATGCCTGGTTTGTCCGAAAGACGGCGTTGGTTCGTAAGGAGATCGGTGTTGCGCCTCATGCACTTTGAAGCAGGCTAGAGACACTGGGCTGGATGCGCTTTGGCGCGGGCCGCGGAGTGTTGTGAGCTTTTGGGCCGTGGCCTTCGGGTCGGAAAATTGTGGGCCTTCGGGTCGTGGCCTTCGGGTCGGTTTATAAACTGCAAAATGAGCCGTGTGCCAGAGTGCATGATTTGAGAAAATTCATAAGCATGGCAAATGTGTGCCAGAGTATGTGGCTGCTGTACGTGCCGGTGATTCGTGTGTGAGACAGGCACTTCGAAGCATGAGCATGCGTATGGCGTACATGTGACCGGTGTGTCGTGTATGTGCCGTGATTTATATAAAATGCCTAACCTGCAGGGTCAGTTGTATGATCGATCTGGGCCCGAGGGCCTAGATTTGTTGTTGTATTGATTTGCTTGTTAGGAGGTGCATGTTAGCCTAGTTTCGATTTAGGAGGCCTACTCACTGAGATTCGTCTCATAGTTGTTTAAACCCCGTTTTTCAGACTCCTGATAGTGGTTACCTGGTGTACCCGATCCACATGAGAATCCGGAGCCTATAGAGCAGGAACCCGAGCAGGTTGGCGAGGTCGAGCAGATGGATTCGGAGGATGAGATAATCAAGGCTGAGTCCGAGTTATCAGGATCTGATCCCGATTAAGTTTCCTAAGATCAGTCTTAGCCTCCCTTAGGTCGGGCCAATAACCCTTTGATTGTAGCCCCACCTTAGACTGCCCCCTTGGCCACTTAGGGATTTTGCTAGCAGTGGCCGTCGACCCATTTTTGTTTGGTGATTTGTATTGGTGTATAGTGGACATTGTATATGTTTTGAAGTTCAATGCAAGTCTTGATTATTAGGCTTTTAATTGTTCGTCGTTCCTGCTACCCTTGGTCATGTATTGTTTTGTACGGGTGTTTTAATTATTGCTTCTGCATGTGCTTTATGCTATGTTTTGGGACATGGGTCGGCGACGCGTCCTAGGACATTGCATCAAAATTGACCAGTATGTGGGATGATCGCACTTCGAGGGGTTCGGGGCGTGACAGCAGCCCTTTTTCAAAAATTGCACCCTCAGAAATAGCTGCTAAACTCACTTGGGCCAAGAAGCCCGTTTAATACGAAATTTATGAAAATGCCGGTCCATGGGCCCGGTAAGTACCCCCAATGGTCCAAAAATATCTTAAAGCCTTTGAAACATCCAAAAAAAAAATGCTCAATTTTTGCAGAAAATAAGTCCATTCTCCATAAAAACAAAATAGAAATTAGATACTTTTTCAAATTTCGATCGTGCTAGTCTTCAAGAATCTCACCAAACCTTTCAAAGGCTACGAATCACAATTTTATGCCATGAATATTTGCACAGACCGGATCAATTAGAGAATTTTTGGATGTCCATAAAACCGTTTTTCTAATATTCATAATTCTAGTAATTTGGAGAAAGTAATAGAAAATTTCAATATTTCCAGCTAAATCTAGCCGAACGACGACGACGACCGCCATGGAGCTCGTCGAGACCTAGATATGGAGAACTCCAGATCTAGCCTCACCCACCTCATTCTCCAAACGCTGACTAGATCAAGCTGGACGAGTGTTGGCATCGGTCGCAAGCCTGGCTTGTCCATGATCGGTGACGCTGCTATCCACAGCCACCAGCGTCGTCCATGGCCGGGGAAAGACAAAAAGAAAAAACGCATAAAACGGCAGAGAAGAGACAGAGCAACGTAGACAGAAAAAAATCCAAAAGATGGGCCTCTACTCAGATAAGTGGTGAGCAATGAATGAAGTGGCACGCGGCTACGTGGCAAGACAAGCCTACCCAATATTTACTCATATTTTCTCCGTCTACCTCCACGTCCTATTGGCTGGATGGGAGCTTTGAGTCCCAAATTAGACCGACGCAGCGCTCGTCGTTTCACCTCTCCCTCCACTCTCTCCCTCTTGTCACCCTGGCTTTCTTTCCAGAGATCAGTAGCTATTCAGCCCTCAGTCGAGGCATTACAATGTTTAACATGAAGATGGAAAGACAGCCAACTCAAAAACTTCATCAGTATTATTACATCGTCCGAGCATTCTTTTGCTCGTCCTATCAGTACTAAGTGTGTTATTTCATTAGAGACAGGCGGGATGTTCATCCTCCTCCCTATTGATCGCGCATGTTCCTAAGTCCAATTCTAGTTTATATACTGAATGTTTGCTCATAGTTAGGAGTCTTGGTTGAAGGATTCAAGTCCCCTGCAGTCTCTACACTTGACTTGATTAGGGTTGTCGGGTCGGCTTTCGACAAGAGTGCACGCGATCGCGGGGGATAGAATATGAAAGAAAGAGGAAACACTTCCGCCACTAATCACGAACAATAATAACAGCAATAATAATGATAAATGGGATCCATAAATCAATAAATCAAGAGAGGACCATCATCATGGTTCTCTCCCATTCACGAAAAACAAACAAACGGGATAAAAAGGCGAAAAAAAAGGAATGATTTTAGTTGGTAGGGTTGCCGAGGGCCTCGATGGCAGTTTCTCTGGGAGCCTTGATGGAAGTTGCTCTGAGAAATTGGTGGTGGTATACTGTTGCTGCTAATGCCCCCACAAATGGTCCAAACCAGAAGATCCACTGCTCATGAACATCCACATTCGCAAACATCAATTAATACTAGCCTAAAATCACTATCTCTTGGCGATAATATCAAATCCAAATGCGCTTGTTTTAGCTAGCTCCTGATGTGTGTTATTCATGCAGTAAAGCTTGGTTTAAGGAAGGGGAGAGAGAGGGAGAGGGGCTTTACTTGGTCATCCCAGACTTTGTGGTTGTTGTAGATAACAGCGGCACCAAAGCTCCTAGCCGGGTTGATGCCGGTGCCGGTGATGGGGATGGTGGCCAGGTGAACCATGAACACTGCAAAGCCAATTGTCAATGGAGCCAAAACCTGTACACCCAAACGCAAACCCCATCTCATCAGAAAAGCTAATTTATTCATCAAACGTACAGCTTGGAAGGAAGGGCATAGTTGTTTGTAGTAGCAGCAGCAACTAGTAAGCAGTACGTACGGGCACATGACAGTCGCAAGATCTCCTCTTTGGGTCAGTGGCCGAGAACACAGTATAAACCAGCACGAAAGTGCCGATGATCTCAGCACCCAGGGCCGTACCCATGCCATAGCCCGGAGCCACCGAGTTTGCACCACCTCCGTGCAAGTCGTAGTAGGGCTTCATGAATGCCTTCACCAATCCTACACCACAGATCGCGCCCAAGCACTGGGCGATCATGTACGACACTGCCCTGATCAAGCTCACCTTCTTTGCCAAAAATCGCCCCAATGTCACCGCCGGGTTGATGTGCCCACCTGTGTCGAACAACGAGAAACATTACAGAAAACACATAAACCCCTGAAGACCATAGCATGAAATAACTAGAGGGACTGAACATGTGAAAGTCCTATAACACACCAGATATGCCAGCAGTGCAATAAACGAGGATGAAAATCATGCCGCCGAAGGCCCAGGCAATGCCTAAGACACCGACGCTGTCGCAAGGCTCGGCCTGCTTCTTATGGCCGATAATGGTGACGATGGTGACGTAGAGGAAGAGGAGAGTGGCCACGAACTCCGCGATGAGGGCTCGGTAGAAGGACGGGAGCTTGAGCTCGGCCATATCGAGGAGAGAGGCTGGTGGCCGGTCCGTGCAGTCCTCCCCGTGGTGGTGGTGGGTCAGTCCTTCCTCCGGCATCTTCTTCCTTCTTCGAGGAGAATCGGTTTCTAGCAGCAGCAGCAACAACAGCAACGTCAGCAGCAACAAGAGCGTGTTTGCTTCTTGTCTTCTCTTTCCCTGCTCTATCTCTTCTCTCTCCGTTGAAGCCCCCTTTGAATTTTATATTCACTAGTTTAGGGTCGTCTTGCAAGAAGTTCCCAAAAATTCCTATTGCCTACTTCGATCAAAAGGAGATATTCTAATATTTCTTATAATCCTATTTCCTATTCAGATTCGATTTTTTCAATTATCATTTAAAATTTAAATCATGACAATATACAAATTAATTGCCCCCACCCCAAGTTTGCTTTTAATAAACTGATATTTTCCAACTTGGTATTTCCTGAATTAAAACTTTGAATCTTATGATGTGCATGAGCTTGCCTGAATTTTCTTTCATCTCAACTGAAAAAATCTAAAGTGTGAACCTTTGCGCCTTTTGCAATAGACCTACAACCATATAGACCTTTTAGCTTTTGTGTCCATCAAATTAGTAAGAATTAATCACATTCAGTAATTTAGATGGACCTGAAACCGAAAAACAAAAAGCTTGGTTTGTGCATGCATTAATTCCATGCAATTTTTTCTTTTAGATTGAATAGACAATTTGTTTTGTTCAATTCAATGTCTAAAGAAATGGTTCATTGAATTTTGTTTGTTGAATGTTCAATCCGAACTCTTTTTGACCAATTTTATCTTTGAACTATGATGCTCTTTTATTTTTGTTCGTATTGATCTTTAAAATTGAAATACGTATAAAACAGGTGATTTGGTTGAATTAAGTTGTATTTCCTTCTTAGCAATAAAAGGTAAAATTAATAGATCTTTTTTAAGTAAGTAAACTCCAAACTATACTATCAGTAACCTCACTAACTCAGTAAATTAAGTTAGGAAACAAGTTTCAACCAAAAAAACAAAAAGTTAGGAAACAAGCCAAAACACGGCAGAAAAGTCCAAAAAATACATCGAATAAATCATATCACTCAGCATTTTTAGGAGATACATGCTAATGCAATCAAATATGTTCAGGCGTTATCAAAAAGACATCAAGGCGTGCTCGACCGAGTCCTTCGAAGTTTGGTTGGTGATGGCAAATAGCTTTATCGAGCTCGAGCCGGCCCGTCTTCTCAACCATTGGGCATTGTTTGATGAGGTCATTCATCTATAATTTTATATTCACTAGATTTCACCTCTGTTGGTCACTTTAGAAATGACATCTCCAACTTCGATACTAAGCAATTATATGAAGCTTTTTGTTGTTTGGCCCGAGTTTAGCCTGCCTTACATACTTTCTGCTCTACTCCAGGCTATTGGGTTTCTGCTCTGTTCTTGGAAGATTGAGAGAGCCTATGAAGATCTTCCCCTTTCCAGCAAATTTAATCCAGGCTATGGACATTGCACAAGCCTTAAGTCTCGACATCACAAGAAAATTTACTTGGAAGGCCCAGATGCTTGTCAAACTTTCCTGCAATATGATGTCGTAAAAACAAGTGTGAAAAAAATGTACAACATACATACAAACTTAAAGCAACATTTACATAACTAAATAGCATGCATATAATGAATTATCAATATGATAAAAAGAAAAAGTCATGATATTGCTTTTCAGTTACCAGACAGCATTGTGTCGAATTCAATAAAGTGGTGTTTTTTTTCACACCGCAATTGCAAGTATTGACATTTTAGTTTGGATTGTTGTTATATAAATAGCATTGATAATTCGATACCCAAAAAAATAGCATTGACAATTCTTTTAGCTTGCATTGTTACAAGTGGATATCAGAATAATCTTCTTTCTATGGTAAAATGAAGTAATTAATGCATCGCATTTTTAACACTTCACTTAATTTTTGATGCAAATCATTTGACTGGAGTTGATTCAATGTCTGAAGAGCATTGTTTTATTGAATAACTAAGAAAAAACGCATCGAATGGTATCTAAATGGACAGACTCACTATTGAACATACAAATTCCTTCTTATCTTGCACCAACCAAGTTGAATAACAATATTAATATGCTTAGATATAATTTGAGTGGTAAGTAAAACCTACTTCACATATTTATAAAAGATAGCTCTCCCTCATCATTTAATAGGAATAGATCTGTATTAAATGAATTATTGGATGAGAATAATATGCTTAGGTATATTTTGGGCGATAAGTAAAACCCATTTAACATTTTTGTTAACGTAGCTACTCCTTGTTATTTAAGAGGTATGGCATGCATTTATGTTTAAGTATTATATAAAGTTATATTTAATCTACATGAACTAAGACTGCACGTTTCAGCTCCATTGAATAAAATAAATATTTGAATCAACACACATTACAAATTATAAGTGTTTAAGGATGATTGCAATAGCTAAACTAAACCAAGCAAAACAAATTTGCTGGAAAAATTGAAAATTTTGATTTATTAGTTTGGCTTTGGGTTGATTAAGAAATTGCGAAATCAATATATTTGATTAAATGATTAATCGCTACTTCACAATTAAGTAGAGAGAAGAGTGGTGGTCTCATTCGAAATAACAAAAGGACAGAAACTTGGTAGAGAAGAGCGCAGTGGCTTCAAGCTAAGCATGGACTGGTTGAGGGAGGTCCCAAACTCTATGTCCATTTCCAAATCTGTCCCGAACAATGGCAAGCACCTTGGGGATGAGGTCAAGGGAGGAACAGTTTCCATCTTAAAAAGGGAGCAAAGAAGACAAGAAAATCTGGGCATATCAAGCCATAGGATTCTTGGCCAAGTGGGGAGGGAGATTTTTAAGTATAGAATCATTGTCAAAGGCAAAGAGAGCTCGAAAAAGGAAAAGGATAGAGCTTTTCTTCACGGCCAAGAAAGGGAGAAATACAGAGAGAGAGAGAGAGAGAGAGAGAGAGAGAGAGAGAGAGAGAGAGAGAGAGAGAGAGAGAGAGAGAGAGAGAGAGAGAGAGAGAGAGGCGGGGTTAATGGTCGGTAAGCAAAAGAGAGAGGAAACTTTAATAAAGAAAAACAAGAAGAATACTGAGAAGTGGTGGGCAAAAGAAAAGAAAAGAATAAGAAGGAGGTGTGAAGAGAAAAAAAAACAGAGAAGGAAAAGATGAGACTCCTTGGACTGTAAGTTTGTTTCATTCGCTTTCGGAGCATCTACGTTTCCTCCAAGTTCGCTTTTCCTTTTGCACTTTAATTTTCAGGAGTTTACTCCTCACAGTTACATGTCTCCATCATTTCAATTTCTAAATCAAAAATGAAATCAAGAGCTTAAATATATTTAACAAACATACCTTTTCTGATGGAAAATAAATTAATGAAAGAAAAAGGAAAATTTATTGGTGCGATTGGGGTTGCCCGCTGGTTCCATTATATAAATCAAACCACAGGAGAATGGCAACAAGAAGGCAATTCCTGTTTCTGAGAGGCATTCTGGCTTTTTTCTCCGTTAGACTTAAAAGCAAAAATCGAGGGCAGAGTCAGTGATGTCGAAACGTGATAGAAAGATTGACTGAATAAGAAAATTCGACAGAAGACAATTCGTCCTCCAAGTATGATTATCAAATCAAAAATATCCAAAGTCTGCTTAAAGGAAACCCTAAAACAAGCTTATATATCCCCAAACCTAGCCCTACTAGGATTAGTAAACATCAAAACGTAAAATTACGAAACTACACTTTACTAAATTAACCCATAAAAAATACTAAAAAAAAAAACCATCTAAATGACCCCGAATCGCAAAAATCCATTGTTAATCACAGCCAATGGCCGTGAGTATTGATCAACACGCCGTTTCGCTTCAGCCCACCAAATTTGAGCTCAATCCGAGATCGTTGACTTCAAGCCCGTCAGTTCGTCTAGTTGTATAATGGGTCCACCGATCCCCTAGATGCATCATCCTCCCCTGCTAGAGAAAGATTTGTCCTCGAATCTACTTCGCCTTCATTGTCATCGTCAATCTCCTCAGGATCTTCTTCCTCTTCAGCGTAGTAAGGTGACAAATATGCTACGTTAAAAGTTCCAGATACATTATATTTACCCGGCAGTTCGACCTTGTAAGCATTGTCACTAATTCGCTCCAAAACTCTGAAGGGTCCATCAGCTCTAGGTTGAAGCTTGCCAAACCTACCTGCTGGAAATCGTTCTTTCCTAAGGTGAATCCAAACTATATCACCTTCCTTGAAGACGACTCTTTTCTTGCGTATATCCACGCGCTGCTTATACTTCATGTTCTGCTTGTTGATCTGATTATGGACCTGGGAATGCAGCTCTTTGATATGCTTTGCATGTTCTTCAGCTTCTGAACTAAATTGTTTGAGAATTGGTATCGCTGTGAGATCCAATGGAGTAATTGGATTACGCCCATAAACCACCTCAAAAGGAGTCTTGCCTGTAGTTCGGTTCTCTGATCTATTATATGCAAATTCCGCCTGAGGCAATGCCAAGTCCCACTGTCGCGGATTATCTCCAATCAAACTCCGTAGCAAATTCCCTAAGCTTCGATTGACAACTTCTGTTTGACCATCAGTCTGAGGATGATGAGATGAACTAAACTTCAAACTTGTACCCATGTACCTCCAAAGAGTGCGCCATAAGTGACTCACAAACTTCACATCACGATATGAGGTTATGGACTTAGGAATTCCATGCAGCTTAACAATCTCCTGCAGAAATAATCGAGCAACCTGCGAAGCATCATAGGACTTGCTACATGGGACAAAGTGGGCCATCTTCAAGAACCTATCGACAACCACCATTATTGAATCCTTACTCCGCTGCGTTCTTGGCGAACCCAAGACAAAGTCAAGACTGACATCCTCTCACGGTGCAACTGGAACAGGTAGAGGCATATACAATCCTGCATTAGTACTCTTGGTCTTTGCCACATGACATACCCTGCACCTCTCTATAAAACGTGTCACGTCACGCTCCATCCGAGGCCAATAAAAATGTTCACTCAACAAGGCCTTCATCTTATCCACGCCAAAGTGCCCAGCTAAACCGCCTG